CTGAAAATCTGAACAGACATATATAATGAGTCTGTTATTGAGAGTGAATCAGTAATCAAAAACCTCCTAACAAAGAAACACGCAGGACCAGATGGTATCATTGGAGAATGTTATTGAACATTTAAAGAAGAATTACTGCCAACCGTTCTCACACTCTTCCAAAAAAACTGAAGGAGGGAATACTTTCTGATTTCTTTTGAGGCCAGCATTACACCAATACCAAAGCCAAAGGAGCTATCAGACTAAAAGAAAACTATAGTCCACTATCCCTGATAAATACAGATGTGAAGATCCTCAATAAAATATTATTGAAACTAAATTCAACAGCACATTAAAAAGATCACACCATGACAAAGTGTGACTTATCCCTAGGATGAAAGGATTACTCAACATATGAAAATCAGCCAGGGGTGGTGGTTCACGAATGTTAATCCCAGCACTTTGGGAGGCCAAGGCAGGTGGATTACTTGAGGTCAGGAGTTTGAAAATAGCCTGGCCAAACTCCATGTCTACTAAAAACACAAAAATTAGCCAGGCATGGTGGCTGTGCACCTGTGATCACAGCTACTGAGGAGGCTGAGGCATGAGAATCACTTGAACCCAGGAGGCAGAGGTTGCAGTGAGCCAAGATCGCACCACTGCACTCCAGCCTGGGTGGAAGAGCAAGGCTCCATCTCAAAAAAAAAAAAAAAAAAAAAAAAAAAAAGGGGGGGGGGGAAAGAAAATTAAAATCAACCAATGTGACACACCATATTAACAGAAAGAAGAATGAATGTCACACAATCATCTCAACAGATAAAAAGCATTTGACAAAATTCAACGTATTTTCATAATAAAAATACTGAACAAACTATAAATTAAAGCAAATAGTCTCTACGTAATAAAAGCCATGTCTAGAAGTCCTACAGCAAACATCATATTCAAGGGATAAGAACTGAAAGGTTTTCTTCTAACATCAGGAACAAGCTAGGATATCCTCTCACCAGTTCTATTCAATGTAGGACTGGAAAGCCTAGCTAAGACAATTAGCCAAGAAAAACAAAAGGCATCAAAATTGGAAAGGAAGAAATACAATTATCTTTGTTTACAAACAACATGATCTTAAGCTTTTTTTTTTTTTTCCCTTTTTGTGGAGAATGGGGTCTCACTGTATTACCCAGGCAGGTCTCAAACTCCTCGGCTCAAGCTATCCTCCCGCCTGTGCCTCCCTAAGAACTGGGATTACTGGCATGAGCCACTGTATCTGGCCTTTGAGGGGAGTTATGCTTATCTTTTTTTGTCTTTTTGAATATGATCTTATAAGTAGAAAACACTAAGGATTCTACCAAAAAAAGAAAGAAAGAAAGAAAGAAAAAACTGTTAGAACTAATACAAAATTCATCAACCTTGTTATAAGATGCAAAATCAACACATAAAGATCAGTTGCATTTCTATATACTAACAATGAACAATCTGAAAAGGAAATTAAGAAAACAGTCCCGTTCACAATAGCTTCAAAAATAATAAAATGCTTATGAATAAACTTATCCAAAGAGACAAAAGACTTGTCCACTAAAAAATACAAAACACTGCTGAAAGAAATTAAAGACACTGGAAAAGCTTCCCAAGGTCATGGACTGAAAAACTTAGCTTTGTTAAAATGTCCATACTATTCAAAGTGATCTGCAGATTCAATGCAATCTCTATCAAAATGCCAATGCTATTTTTTGCAAAAATAAAGAAAGAATCCTAAATTCCGTAAGTAACCACAAGAAACTCCAAACACAATTGTGAGAAAAAAGAACAAAGCTGGAGGCCTCCTACTTCCTAACTTCAAAATATTCTACAAGCTAGAGTAGTGGCATACAGACAGACACACCAACTAATGGAACAAAACAAAAATCCTGGAAATAAACCCACACGTATACAGTGAAATGATCTTTGACAAAAGTGCTAAGATTCTACAAGGTGGAAAGAATGATTTCTTCAACAAATGGTACTGAGAAAACTGGATATCCACATGCAAAAGAATTTGGACCCTTATAACATACACAAACATCATCTCACTGTATTGTGTGAATTAAAGACCTAAACATAAGACTTAAAACTATACAAGCCAAGACCCTGCCACTGTCCTCAAGCCTGGGTGACAGAGAAAGACCCTTTCTCAAAAAGAAAAAAAAAAAAAAAAAAAGACTTGAAACTATAAAACTAGAAGAAAGCAGAGAGGAAATGCTTCATAACACCGATCTTGGCAATGGTTTCTTTGAAATGACTCCAAAAGCACGGACAATGAAAGAAAAAATAGACAAGTGAGACCATATCAAATTAGAAAGCATAGAAAAGTAAAAAAAAAAAACAGAGTAAAATGGCAACCTACAGAATGAGAGGAAATACATGCAAACCATATATCTAATAAGGGGTTAAAATACAAAATACAGTAAAACTGCTATAACTCAACAATAAAATATCAAATAACCTATTTTAAGAATGTGCAAAGGACTTCAATAGACATTTCTCCAAACAAGACATACAAATGGCCAAAAGGTATATGAAAAGATACTCAACATCAGTAATCAGACAAATATAAATCAAACCCACAATGAGGTACCACTTCATCTTTTAGGATGGCTATTATTTAAAGAAAAAAAAGAAAAGAAAAGAAAAACAGAAAATAATAATTGTTAACAAAGGTGGTGGTTGGAATGTAAAATGATGTCGTTGCTATAGAAAACAGTTTGGACATTCCTCAAAAAATTATAAATGAAGCTACCATCTAATCCAGCAATCCCACTTTTGAACATACTGCTAACAGAATTGAAAACAGGATTTCTATGAAATATTCACATTCCTATGGCTGGGCACGGTGGCTCACTCCTGTGATCCCAACACTTTGGGACTCTGAGGCAGGAGGATCACTCGAGCCCAGGAGTTCAAGATCAGACTGGGCAAGAAAGTGAGACCCCTTCTCTACAAAGCAATAAATAAATAAATAAATAAATAAATAAATAAATAAGCAAGCCAGTCATGGTGGCACAAATCTATAGTCCCACTACTCAGGAGGCCAAGACAGGGGGACTGCCTGAGCCCAGGAGTTTGAGGCTACAGTGAGCCGTGATCACGCCACTGCACTCCAGCCTAGGTGACAGAGTGAGACTCTGTCTCTCAAAAAAAAAAATCGCATTCTCATGTTCACTGCAGCATTATTCACAATAGCCAAAAGGTAGAAAAAACCTAAATGTCCACTGATGATAGGTTAATGAATTAAAAAATATATACAGTACAAACACACAATGGAATATTATTCAGTTTTAAAAAAGAAGAAAATCCTGCTATATGCTACAACATATATAAGTGTTGAGGTCATTATGCTAAGTGAAATAAGCCATCATAGCAAATACTGCATTATTCCACTTATATGAGGTATTTGTAGTCAAGCTTATAGAAACAGAATATAGAACGGCAGTTGTCAGGAGCTTGAGGAAGGGGAAAATGGAGAGCTGCTATCCAATGGGTACAGAGTTTCAGTTACGTAAGATGAAAAAGTGCATATAGTTAACAATCTTGTGCTGTACACTTAGAAATTTGAGAGGCTAAATCTCATATTATGTAATTTTTACCATAATTTTTAAAAAATAAACAAGAATGTACAGAATATTTGGGGGCATGGAAATTGGTACAGGGAGAAGGGGTTCATCTAGAAGAATCATGTACATAGAGGAAGAAACAAGTACAAAGGCTCAGGGCAGACTAATAACCTGTTCAGTAAACTGAAATAAGTCCATTATGGCACAGGCATAGTGAACTAGAAGGAGAGTGGTAATAGTTGAAACTAGAAATGCAGGCAAGGGCTTGATCAATCAGGGACTTATAGGCCATCTTAAAGGTTTGAATTATATCCTAAAATCAATGGAAAGTTTTTGAATGGCTTTAAGAAAAGGAATAACATAATCTGAGTAATGTGTAGGAATGAACACTACTAATAGCCTTGCTTTCCAAGACTCAATTAATAAAATAAAATTAGAAAAGGGTCTCTCCTAAAAGGAATAAAGAGAAATTTTCAGAAACATCTAGAATTCAGATTTAAAGTGAACTACATTAAGAGAAAGTTAATATGTAGTTCTACAATGAAAATAAATCAGATAACCTGAATCAAATATAAATAAGTTTAACAGAGTCAAACTACAGTAATTTGGTAAAGTCTGTCAGACATATACTTTCACCTCCATTTGAAAAATAGCATTTTTTCAGCTGGCAGAAAGAAAAGTGATGGAAACATGTCTCATGTCTGATTTATCATTAAACTGAGTGTAATGGTTTGAATGTATCTCCACCAAAATTCAGGTGTTGTCTATGCGGTAGTATTAAGATGCAGGTCCTTTAAGAGGCGATTAGGCAACGAGAGCTTCACTAATGGGATTAGGTGCCCTTATAAAAAGAGTTTGATGAAGGGAGTCTGTCCCTTTTGCCCTTCTGCTTTCTGCCATGTGAGGGCACAATGTTCCCCACTTGGGAGGATGCAGTATCAAGGTGCCATATGTAAACAGAGAGCAGCCCTCATCAGACACTAAATCTTCTAAGCTTCTAATCTTAGACTTCCTAGCCTCCAGAAATACGAGAAAATAAATTTCTGTTCCTCAGGTATTGTTATAGCAGCACAAAAAGGACCAAGATATAACCTATGAAAAACGAGTGAGTCTCGGTTGTGAAGTGTGATATGCAATGTACTTGTTTAGGGTATTTTATTGAAGCTCTTAGATGTTTGATTTGCATCAGCCCTCATACAGCATCATATACCACTCTACTTGCATGGAACAACAACAACAAAAAGTATTCTCAAACTTACCTCAATCTCAACACAGCATTTAAAAATAAAGCACAATAATCAGTATTGGAAAGTTACTAGTTACAACTCCTTTTTTCCCCCTTCTTGCTGGTAGTCAACTCAAAATAAAAAAATATAAACTGAATGTTTACCTAATTATTTATCTGTGAAGGCTTTAAGGCAGCAAAAATCTTACCAACAGTACAGCTGTCTTCAAGTACCACATCAACATTTCTGTCTCTGTATTCAACCCTGAAGTCCAGCATCCGAGGTTGCCTTTCTACAATCTGCCTGGATGGCATTACAGGTCGAAACGCCGAAGAGGAAGAAGAGGAGGAAGTAGGAACTGGAGTTGGATGACTTGCTGGATTAAATGCAGGTCCTGGTATGGTCTCACTTCCATATTCACTAAAATGTTGACATAAAAGAAGGATTATTGTCAACTAAATCATTATAGAATATGCTAGGGACCCTTTCCATACTTGGCTTGTGTTGTTCTTCCTATGAAGTAAGTTTACCTACATGTGTGTCAAGGCCAAACTTGAGTTCTATTTCCTCCACAAAATCTTTCCCATTGACTGAAGGCCATTATCACTCTCCTTCTCACACTAGCCTTTCTATGTTTATTAGCAATATTATATCATTTAGCATTTAGATTTTTACCTTGTGTTGTTATGATGTTACTAAAACATCATTTTTAACTGTAAATTAAGAACAGTATCTTCTTCACTCACTCTCATTTACTCACTGAACAATTATTTGACTCACTACCTCTGCTTTCCACAGACTATTTTGAAACTTTACTGTCCTTAAACCTCAATTCTCCCTACCTCACAACTCTGTCTTAAAAGTTATCTTTTTCCATTTTACCAAGAAAACAAAAGCCATCAAGAGAAATTTCTCTTATCTTCTTAACATTAAATACACAAGCCCGCATATTCACTCTCTCTTTCTCACTTCCTGTAAAATACAGGGGCTATCATTTTTTTAATCTGTCCAGAATCTAAAACAATTTTATTTGTTTATTTGTTTCTTTGAAATGAGGGTCTCACTCTGTCACCCAGACTGGAGAGCAGTGGCACAATCTTGGCTCACTGCAGCCTTGAACTCCTGGGCTCCAGCAATCAATCCACCTCAGCTTCCTGAGTAGCTGGGACTACATATGCAAGTCACCAAGCTCAGCTCATTTTTGTATTTTTTTATAGAAACAGAGTCTTGTTATGCTGGCCAAGCTAGTCTTCAACTCCTGGCCTCAAGTGATCCTCCCACCTCTGACTCCCAAAGTGCTAAGATTACAGGCATGAGCCACTGCACTCAGGCTAAAACAATCTCCTCATTAGCTCTACAATAGGGATTATCCCTTTTATATCTAGTATCTTTGATATCTCTTTCTCTTCTGTATTCTTTTAAATAACATTTAAACAAGTTCAAATCTCTCCCTTCTTAAAAAATAAAAATGAAATCCTGGCTCTGCCCACTTAATAAATGTCCCGTTTGTAAAATGAGAACAATAATTATATTTGCACAACATCCAGTACGTAGTAAGATCCCAGACCCCCAAGTCAGTATGTCCACAGCTTAATTCATTAGTATTTCCTCAAGTCTGACCCTCCTCCATTACTCCTAATAATGACTCAATCCAGAAACCTGTGGTGTTATCTTGATCCCTTCTTTTTCCTCCCACGTATCTAATCAGTCCTTTAAATTGTATCTCCTAAGTATGTTTTGTTTAAGTCATCCACCTTTACCCTCGGATGCTACCACTCTAGTACAAGCCATAATTACCTCTTGTATGAACTAATGCAATTGCCTCCTAACTAATCTCTTTATATGCATTCCTGCAACACTGAGTTCCATTCCATCATGCCCCTAGAGTGAAATTAAAGACACAAATGTCTTCATATCATTCTCTTTCTCAACCCTTCAAATACTCTCCTTTGCTCTTCAGATAAATACTTAAAGTGGCTTACAAGGCCCTACATGATCTGAATCCTACCTAGCTTTCCATCTCCTTGTGCTACACTGTTTCCAGCCCTCGATAGTAACAGGCACATGGTCTTTCATTTCTTCTTGCACTTTAATCATTCCCATTTCACTGAGGAATACAGGCTATTCCCTCTAAGAATATCTTTTCCTCCATTACCCATCTACTTCTGTCTTTCTTTTAAAAAATTATACTCAAGGCTTCATATCCCAGATTGAATGTCTTAACTCAGGGCACTAGGTCTAATTCTACACTAGAATTAGTTAGTTGTGTAATTAATGATTTGACATCTATGTCTCTACTGGAATATAGGTCCCACGAGAATAAAGCTCATATTTGTGTTTTTAATGGCTGTATCCTCTGCCTTGAGCTTAAGATTTTATACATAGGAGGCACTCAAATATTTGTCAAACTAATGAGGAATAATTATTTTAAAACTGGGCTTTTCTCTGACTTAATTTATCATACGTATTATCACTTTTTTTTTTTTCCTTCCTGAGAGAAGGAGGTGGGGAGAGAGGGAACCATAGGAATGTTTCGGTTGCAACATCATTATTGTATTTATCTCCCACAACCATTACATCTCAAGACCAGCTCTAAAACATCTTTCTTCTCAACCTGAATTTAAGAGAAAACAATGGACTGGGAACCTGCACAAAACAACAACAACAATAACCAAAAGCATGCTGAGTTAAGCAATGTTCATATAATTAAGCAGAAAATATTTATATTTAATTTCACTTATTCAGACTATTGCTCTGAACAGTGCTCATCAAACTACAGATTACACAGTCGACTTGGCGAGTTGTGATCAGTTTTAAAGATTAGAATAGAAATTATCAGCACTGTGTCACTTAATAGGACCAAGTATTGTTCCATAAAACTTTTTATTCTGTTATATAGCTGTATATGTGTTTGGGATTCCAAGTATTCCTCATTTTAAACCATACTCCAAAAAGTTCAAAAATAATTATTTTTTGAATCAACAGAGCTCAGATACTCCAGTAATCACTGATCCAAGACAAAAACTTACCCCTTCTCCTAGTTGTTAAATTCAAAGAAAATAATCTTGTACAAAAAAACATGGAAACAACGAAAATGTCCACAGGCAGGAAAGAATGCCACAGCTGAAATCCAAAGTGAGCTCTTAAATATCTATGAACAGAATCTGTGCAATAACATTTCACATCTCTAAAGTTTGTCGCAACTTCTCAAAACCTGAAGAAAAACCTAAGAAAAAGTTAGTCACTGATTTACCGTTTTTTAACTTCAAATCCACCTTTCCATATAGTCCACTCTGTGATGCTGGGGCCAGGATTCTCAAAACTGTATTTTCTTCTGCTAGATGTTTTCCTGTTAGATTCTACCAACAGGAGACACTATCTAGAGCAGGCGTCCCCAAACTACGGACCGGACCGCAGGCCGCATGCAGACCCCTGAGGCCATTTATCCGGCCCCCCGTCGCACTTCAGGAAGGGGCACCTCTTTCACTGGTGGTCAGTGAGAGAAGCACAGTATGTGGCGGCCCTCCAACGGTCTGACAGACAGTGAACGGGCCCCCTGTGTAAAAAGTTTGGGGACGCCTGATCTAGAGATTAGCAGTTAAAGAGGGGAGGAGAGACTTCTTTTTTCCTGCTTGCATTCATTTCCATCAGCATCACCCTGTAGGTAGGTTTCAGTCTTATCTTTCCAACATGCTTATAACCAGCTTTATGATATTCTCTTAGAAATGACCGGCAACTGACAGTGTACACTCACAGAGGTCTGATCCGCAGCTTCATGAGTCTCCTCTGTGCTTCATGGTTCTGTTAACCCCTTTGTTCCCTGAACCTAACAGTGGTAGCTTCCTCTCACTTTTATCATATCCAAGTTACCTCTTTTTGCTCTTTCAGTCTTCCATACCTATGTAACCAATCTACCTTAAATTTCCTCTGCTGAAATATTTAGTATGTTTCATTTTCCTGACTGGATACAGTAAAGAGTTCCCAGGAAACATACTTTCAAAGACAAGATTCAACAATTGGCTTGATTATGTGCCCTTGACCTTCAACTCACTGCTAGCTCCTTGTCAATAAAAAATGGGATACTAGTGATCCATTCCATGTATTGGCATAATGATTATTGCATTATCACTTGTAGCTAATTATGATGATATGCCTATTCTAACAAGTCTCTAAGAGAACCAAATGACTGCTTGACTTGACTATTTTGATGGTAATAATGACACCAAAGACTCGAAGATGGCTGCTTCTGACTCAGAGACTTAAAATAAAATGATACAGAGTTTTAAAGTTTTTAACTTTCAGCTCAAGTCATGACAAGATAGCTATAAAATTTTAAAAACACAATCTTGCATGTTCTTCACAGGTACCCCCCAAAATCTAAAACACAATAAAATATATATATATTATTTTTTTAAAAGTTTCTTACTTCTTGTAACCATAGGTATGACTCTGCCAAGAATTAGGTCCAAAATTTAATTTTGCAGATTGTAGAATTATGGTGAAAGTTGAATGAACATACTTTCTAAGTGTCCTTTGTTTTGGAAGGTGTGAGACCCTAAAATATGGAATGATACCTGGGTGAACAACTCCTTCTCCTATGACTGAGAAGGCTAGCTTCCCCTTTTACTAGAAGGCTAGTATCCCCTTCAGTTTAAGCTCTTAGCTTAAACTCTTTAATAGTTGGCTAAATGAAAACTCTCAAAAGAGTCCACATTTCATGAGGATGAGATGCCTGAACATCTCATGAGGATGAGATGTCCTAGGATAATATAGAAGAAATGCAGATGCTTAAAGAAGCAGGAATGCTGGAGTAGATTTACCATGTATAACCTGAATATATACACACCCTCCTATACATCATCCATGAGGTCCTAGACAATACTGCATTAAAGCATTTAAAAATACATTAGTAAAGGACTCTGTATTTGAAAAACTCTGTGGTGACTGTTTTCTGTGAGTTGGGAATTGCATGGGGAGATGACACAATTGAGAAAGACTCCTTAACAAACTGATCAGATTCCAGAGTGGCAGAGGTCAAATGGCAAAATTTCATAGAGAAAAGGTAAGAACAATCATGTTAAAGCATAGCATGGATAGAAAGTGGCAATCAGAAGGTTTTGACATACAAGACCTGCAGAGACCTTTAGAAGTACTTAACTGAGCATGGTATTTCTAGGGAACAAAATTAAAGGTCAATCTACTAAAATACAACTTGATCTATAAATAGTAGGAACCCCAGACTTGGTAGCCTAAATCCTGACTTCAGTGACCACTATGGAGAGTCACAGTCACTTCCAGTTTCCAAACATAAGCTGGTTCACAGACATAAAGCTCCGGATTAAATGAGGCATGGTCCCCTAAAACACAACAGAGCCACAAATATTTACTGTAATTTTTCCTCGAAGATTTCCACTAAGACA